GGGGAGAGGGAGGGGAAGGTAAGCAAAGCAAGCACTGGCATATTCCAATACCTATACCTTTTGGACACCCACCCACAAAACTGACATGAGCTAACACAACAACACAACCACAAACCAAATAACGTCACCACTCTGCCTACCCCCGCCTCAGGGCCTTTGCACTAACTCCCTCCTTCTGAAACACTCTTGTCCCAGGTGGCTCAGCCCACTCATATCCTTCAGGCCTCTGCTCAGTCGGCCCCGGGGAAGAAAGGCCTGGCCGATACCTGCGTAAAGCAGCACCCCTCCCTCCCCTTATGTCTCTCCTCTGCTTCATGGTTTTCCACAGCGTCCTCTCCAGCTGACTCACTCTTTGTTCTTACTCCTTTGTTTTCTATTGTCTCTCTCCGCTGGGATACAAGCTCTACATGCACAGGGACTTGGTTCCGTGTCTGGCACAGCCTGGAGACCAAGGGCGCAGCAGGCTAAACAGAATCCTGGTAGCGCTGTCCAGTGAAACTTGGAGGCAGATACTTGTTGGCAATTCAGATTTGAAAAACAGGCAAGTCGATCTCATTGAGATTTGCAGGGTTTTTGGTTTGTTTGTTTTTTATTGATTTTTAGAGGGAGAGGGAGAGAGAGAAACATCGATGTGAGGGCATCTATCGGCTGCCTCCTGCACACCCCCTACTGGGGATCGAGCCCAAAACCCAGGCATGTGCCCTGACCCGGAATTGAACCGGCAGCCTTTCTTCGCACGGGACAACGTTCCACTAGCTGAGCCACATCAGTCAGGCCAAGATTTGCAGGTTTTATCATTTATTTTTCCAGGATATTCCAAACACTTCCTACATTTTTCTTTGCTTTTTCAAAAATAGCAAAGCCCTGGCTGGTGTGGCTCAGTAATTAGAGTGGTGGCCCAGGGACCAAATGGTCTTGGCTTTGATTCCTGGTCAAGGGCACATACCTGGGTTGTGGGTTCAATCCCCGCTCCCAGTTGAGGCACGTGCAGGAGGCAACCAATCGATGTGTCTCTCTCACACTGATATTTCTCTCTCTCCCCACTCCCTCTCTCTCTCCCTCTCTGTCCCTTCCTTCCGCTCTCTCTAAAAATCAATGGAAAAACATCCTCGGGTGACGATTAACAACAAATTTTTAATCTCAGTTTCTTTTTCCAAATGTCTTAGGTTATCTTTTGTTTTGTTTGAAACCAAAACATCACAAATTTTTCTTTTCTGTTTAAAGCGAAAACTTCATGTCCAATTGATATCAATACTCAAATTAATGAGCTACTTAGAAAAACTTCCAGTTCATCAAAGCATACAGACAGCTGAATAACTGTGGAGACTTCCCAGGGGGGGATCCACAAGGATGTTACCCTCTTTTCTTGCTAAAAATATAAGATTCCATTCAACAACTAAAATTAACCCATTTTGGTTCACAGAGCCCAGAGAAAATATAAAGTTTCATTTCCCCAGAAGAATCTAGATCTTGCTAGATACCATCGCTTGAACTGTTTCGCTTATTCAGACTGAAATGGAGATTGTTCTTAGGATCAAAGCAGACCTCGCCACCCGGCCATGAACGTTACACCATCTCTCCCAGGGCCTTAAACATGCCCTTTTCCATTAAGCAGCTATAATTTCCTAAGTCTCTGCATAAAACTCACTCTCTGGGTGAAAGCCACAGTGTGGTGGCCTCTAGAGCAAAGCTGCACCAAGCAGTTCTGAGCACCCACATGTCCACAGAGATTAAATCAAGACCCTCTCACGGTCCTGGGACTGGCCAGGAGGTCAGAACTGGGAGTGACAAGGAAGACGCTCTGGACACCTTCCCCTCAGAGCAAGGTCCCAGGCGGGCTCCACGCCGACGACTGGCACCCCTCCTCCCACTCATCCAGCAGTCTTCAAAGTCTGAGGACACTTCTGTTGACTCCACAACACCAGCCATAATTCTTATGTCTCGTCCACTGTATGGCCAACATTTCTGATTTCAGTTAACAGTGTCTATTAATCATAATTGGGTCAGTTTCTCCTTTGTTGAGCAAATCTATCCTTCAGGCTGTCACGATTAATGAGAAACAACCTCTCTAAACCTTCTTCAGTTGCAACGACCATGCTTTCAGGTGCTGCTGGATATAATCTAATACTACCAATCTCCAGACATCCCATCTATTCCCGTTATTTCTTCCATCTCATTTATCCCTGAATTACCTTTGGTTTGGGACACCCATAAGACTCAAAGAAAGGCAATGAGTGGAGGGAAGTTTCTGTCTCTCTTTGAGGGAGGAATCAAAAGAACGTCAGATCTATACTCTAATACGCTAAATCAAGAAAACAGCCCACCCGGATTCGACACACAAACCAGGAGGTCACCAGTTCGATTCCCGGTCAGGGCACATGCCCGGGTTGTGGGCTCGGTCCCCCTGGGGACGTGCAGGAGGCAGCCAGTCGACGTTTCCATCTCTCTCTCTCTCCCTCTCCTTTCCTCTCTCTCTAAAATCAATAAAAACATATTTTTAAAAAAAGAAAGAACACTGCCAAGCTGTGACTTTTACCTCACAGTCCCCAGTCAGTCAAAGAAAGTTATTTTGTGAGACGTGGTAGTTTTGTTTTAATTCTCTGTAGACTAACATATGCTCCCACCACACACAGATTTGCCCGTGTACACACCCGCCTCTGCACACACATACACACCCCAGAAAATCTGCATCTCCTTTTTATTTCCATATAAAACTGGACCCCGAGGAACTCATTATCAATGGAGCTTTTACATTCACATTTTTAACTCTTAGACATGAGACCCTTAATCTTGTGAAGAAGCAAGGGAATTGTGTTTTCTGTAAATGTTTTAGAGAAGGCGTGCAAACAAAGCCAACCATTTTTGGCATCTGGGCAAATCCAGTAGCTCTAAAGGGAGCTAGAGATTATCCCCAAATTGTGTGCATATGTGTGTATGTGTGTGGACACGATGTGTCATATGAAACACACACTTATAAACACCATCTGTGTCGTGTAGTATGCACACCTGCATACTCACTTCTGAGACCCAGACTCATTCGTGTGACACACACAGTGACACTCCATAAACCCACATCCAAGAGCCCTCTCGCCTTCTAATTCTACACAGAAATCTGCACGCACCCCAAAAGTGGTGCATGTGCATGGTTGAAAGTACAGGAGAAGCATTACTTCTGCCACCTGCCCACCCTCACCTCCCTGGGCTCCTCCTGGAGGTCAGGGTGGCGGACACTGAGAGGGCCAAGTGGGCGACATCACCGTGACTTTTAGGCAGAAGTTCAGGCCTGCTCTCTGACACATCCCCTCCTGCCTCACATAGCAGAATTGGTAAAGCAAGTCAGCCTCCCTTGGCCCTGCAGTGGGGCCAGGAAAGGGTCTCAGCCGCACTCAGCGGGGGGCCTAGATGAAAGGCCTTTACCAGATTCTGCCTGGGGATTCAGGTGGGCTCATCCTGCCCTCCTCTGGGCTAACATTCCCGGGAAGTTCTTCAGGAGGCCCAGCAGGTTTCAAGCTTTCCCAGGTCCCTGGGCCCAATGCCATCTTGTGGACAAGACTGAACCCTAACAGGACACTCCTTTCTGCATAACAGCTCATTAAACTGCTGCCTTGTGGTGTGATTTTTAACAAAATCATTTAATGCTGTTTTCAGAAATGAATCAGACACAAAGACTGGGAGAAGGGCCAGAGTAACTGTACAGATTTTGGCCAACCCAGAACCAATCTGGGCTTAGCTGTGTGACCCACAAGACCCCCGGGGGGCCCTCCTGGTCTCTTTCCCTGGGCACTGAGAATGAGAAGAGATTCCTTCCAGGCCAGTGGACTCTTGCCTGCTTTGCTCTCTGCTCAGAAACCTGCTCTTTTTACATTTTGACCATCCTATAACCATCCTGGTTCCCGGACCTAATGCAAATAACCCATGATTCACACCCAGTTCTCTGCCCACGTTTAGTAATAGCTAAGAGTAGTCACTCCTACTTCAGTTTGTCAGTAACCTGGTTGGGTGTCACTATCTCTCCAGGGAAGGGTTCTGTTCTGTGAACTGTGGTTATCCTGCCAACCGGGACATGACTATTTAATTTAGTTGACTGTGCTTTCCTAGGGCGAAGTGAAGGACTGCTCTATCTCTACACAAACCTCGCCTGATATGAAATATAAATGGCAGATAAAATAGGCAAAATGATCCTGAAGCCAATTTGAAAACTTTACCAAAAATCACCGACTGTACCATTTCCACATGTTGTCGAGGAACCTGAACCCTGCGCTCCGAGAGGAAAAATAATTCACGGACAGTTTGGTCCCACCCTGAAAGCCGTGCTAAGCGAAGGCACTGATCTGATTGTGCACAGCAGCGGTGGCTGTCCTTCCCCACCCTGACTGCTCCTTCTGAAGCAAAGGCCAGACCGGTCAGCCCCAGAGGATCACAGGCCCGCCCCCACTGGGGGCCGCCCCAGCCCTGGCTCCTCCGGCCCCGCGCCTGGCTGCAGAAGGCTTCGCAAAGGCTGAGTTTCCTCCAGAGCCCAGGCACTCTCTGAGCCAGACATGAAATGAAGTCAAAAGAAAACTCAGCAGTTTCTTCAGAAAATGGGCATGTGAAGGCACTTACTTACCTTCGCGGTGATTTCCTTAAGTGACAAGTTGAGGGGTTTCATCCTTTCCTGGAGGCTGGAAGAACCAGAGAGAGGACATTGGTCTCCTTGGTATCACAGGTCAGTCCCACCCCTTATAAAAACACTGGGAGGCACTGGCCCCCATCTGCCCAGGGGCTGGAGAACAGTAGGAGAGACGATGACAAATTGGCCCCGTTTGACTGTGGAGTTAATATGCTGCCAGGAAACATTGTCCCTCCCTAATTATGCTCTACTTAGGCCAATATTAAAATCTGTTCTCGTTTCCATAGGGCACATCTACTGACAGGGTGAAGAAATACCCAGATGCGCCCCTGGCGACAGAGGATTACAATTTACATCCCTGTGACTACCTTCCAAAAACGACAGTCTGCACAGGATGGCGTGTCACAGGCAGGTAATCAAGTCGATCTGTTTGAATCCACTGTGCCATTCAACAGATCTGTACTGAGCAACCGCTCTGCAGCAGCGGGGGGGGCGCCCAGGGGATACCTGCACTGAAAGTGTGTCTAAACTAGAACTCCCTGGCTCACAGGCCCTTCCCTGCCGCTGTCTTCCCGCGGCACTATGCACCCACACGCTCGTTTATCCGCGTCATTTCTCTCTCCCCGCACTGGGACATAACTTTCACCATCGCAGCAACTGTCTATTGTATTCATTCCCATGTTCTCGGCGCTTAAAACAGTTCCTGGAGTTAGAAGTAGGCACTCAGCCGTATCTGCACAATGAATGAATGAACGAATGAATGAATGAATGAATGAATGAAACTAAGGCTTGGATCATGTCCTCGACTTTGTTATCTAGTGGAAAATAGGACATGCAGACCATCAAGTGTACTGCACAGCAAGATGAAAACATTACTCTTGGGGAGACAGAAGCCCAATGCTAGGATCAAACCGTTACATGACAGCCGTCCCAGGCAGAAGGCTGTCCCCAGATGAGCCATGGAGGCCATAACTTGTGCAGCAATTTAGAAACAAGGGGCTTGGCGGGAAAGCTACTGGAAGAGGTGGAAAGAAGTGGGCCTCAAAAGCAAAGGGAGGAGGGATGAAGTTTCAGGGAGAAGAAGAACCCAACCGGACCAAACAGTTCACAGAGGCTAATTGTGAGACAAAGTGAAAAGGGGATAGGAGGTCTTCACGCATCTGCAATGTTTATTTATTTGGGGAAATGCTGATGATTATTTAATCTCAGTGGGGGATAAATGAGTATCTGTTATATTTTTCACTGCGTTTGGAATATTTACAATTAAAATCATTTTTGGCCCTGTCGGGTGTGGCTCAGCGGTTGAGCATCGACCTAGGATCCAGGAGACTGAGGTTACGGGCTGGATCTCTAGTTGGGAGCGTGCAGGAAGCAGCGGATCAATGACTCTCTCATCGTTGATGTTTCTATCTCTCTCTCTCCCTCTCCCTTCCTCTCTCTGAAATCAATAAAGATATATATATATATATATATTTTTTTTTTTTTTAATCATTTTTGAAGGAACATCAAGGACAATCTATAGTTAGCATTGAAGGCCGGCTAAGGGTTTCTGAGCTTCATCCCATGGTCAATGGAAAATCACTCCCTTTTTGAGCAGGAGAGCAACAAGATAGAAATGGGCTTTTCTGGAAAATTAACTGGGCAGGGCTGAGAGACCATTTAGAGGAGGAAACCCTGGGTGACAAACCAGTAGGCACCTTCAGCAAAAACTGGACTGTGAGGTCTACAGCCTGCAGAGAAGAAGGTAATTGGGAAGGTGGGAAAGAGGGCCTTTGATGACACTGATGCGGCAAAGCAGCGCGAGCCTCCGACTTGGAGCTTTCACTCATCCATTCACCCACCAGCTCATTGATTCTTCCATGTCTACTGGGCACCTAGTGAGTTAGGAACACAGGGTGTAAAGACACAGTTCTTGCCTCCACAGCTGCCAAACGGAGCTCAAATGGAAAAAAAGTTCCAGGTGCTAGAAGAGCAGTGGTCACTTGGTCAAATGGTGAGCTACAAAGGAGAGGTCAGGTTTTCTGGGGTAAGCATACGGGAGTCAGCATATGGCAGGAGTTGCAAAGAAAAGGTTGCTGTCCTTCAACTGTGAGAACTGGTTTTGAGTGTCATCACCTCCACCAATCTGTGATTTCCAAGCACAAGCAACCCCATTTCCATTGCAAATCCCCCGGAACTGGTGTGGGTCCATTCTAACCAACGTCATCTGCGTTGGAGAACTACATCCACCAGAGGAAGGTGGCCCCTAGGTCAGCCAGATGCAGGAGGCGAGAGCTGATGAACAGCAGGGCATGCGCAGCAGACTGTCCTGAATTCAGGAGTCATGATGTGACAAAAATCAGTGTGCTCCACTGGGACGGTGGGAAATAGCATGTGGAATCCCACCCGGGGAATTCCAGACACCAGCTGGATGGAGTCTGGATCTTTTGAAGGGAGATAAGTCTGAGTGACTGCGAACAAGAGAGTGGGGAGCAGACCAAGCCAATTGAGATGTTGGGACAGAAGGACAGAGGTGTCAAAGACGGGCCTGTGCCGGTCCTGCCTCTGATTCCAGCAGCAGCTCTGGGCTGCTGACATCTGCTCTCCAGGCCCACCGGAGTCCATCCAACTAATAACCTCAACAAATGGTTCACCACAAAACTGGTTCACCACAAAATTGATCCTATGCGAGCATTTCATAGTATCTTATAAATAGGTGCTCCCAGCCACACACAAAGAGTAGTTCATGCATTAACAGTTAAGACCGATGGGCAGTGGGTCCACTTATGATCCTGGACACTTAGCTGACCAACACGGCAGCATCTTTAGCTAATGCACCACCTTCCAGGTTGACACAATTCATGGGTCTTGGCTCAGCTCTGGCCCTTTCCCAGAAAGAAAATCAGTCTCCTCTCAGAGATCCGAGTGAGAGCAGGGAGGCAATGAGGCAGATAATTGAATGCGTTGTTTTATATTTGATCTGATTTATCTTTAATTTATTTAATTTATGCTATATTACTTTTTGCAGTAGATTTACCTGCCTAATTATGTTTTGCTCAGGCTAATATTAACATTAGCAGCATCCCTGGGGTAGACATGGGATGAAAGCAGCGGGGGGCAGAAGAAGATGAATAATCTATGCACCATGCTAGTGGCTTTCAAGCTATTTTTAGCAGTAGGACTCTTTTAAACAAAATTTTACACAGAACTATAATGTAGGAAATAGACAGCAAGGGGTCTGTTCTGATTGAGGTGGGGTGTCTGGCCTGGGGCAAATGATATCACGTGGACCCCCAACACTCACTGCTCCCTCTATCACACTGTGGTCCCTGAACTAGGATGCCAGGAGCAGAAAAGACACATTGAAAACCACCACATTAGATGAGTTAAATGTCTATACACAGAGTTATATGTGCTTCAGTGACTGAAATTAATCCCTGTGTTTCTTTCAAGCTTGCACACTGTATGACAAATAAGAACTGTCGTCTCAGATCAAATTACACTGTGCCCTAGAAACATATAAACTGTCTCCACAAATTAGCAGGTAATGTTTTAACATACACACCAGGCCTAAATGATGAGTGTCTTCATTCAGAGCAGGCACCCTGGGAATAATAGTGTCAAACATTTATTGAGCACTTACTGCACACCCAGCATGCTTCTACATGCCTTACACAGATGAGCGTTTTAAATTCCCGTAACTCTATGAATATCTAGATTCTGGGTCAAGAAAACTCAGTCAAACAGGGATTTAAGGCCCTGGCTGGGGGGCTCAGTTGGTTGGAGCATTGTCCATACACCAGAAGGTTGCAAGTTCGATCCCCGGTCAGGGCACATACCCAAGTTGCACGCTCAGTCCCCAGTCCAGGAATGTACAGGAGACAACCAATCAATGTTGTGCTCACACACTGATGTTTCTCTCTCTCTCCCTCCCTCTCTCTCTAAAAGTCAATAAAAACATATCCTCCTGTGAGGATTAAAAAGAAAAGAGGGATTTTAGTGACTTTCCAGGGTTAATCAGCTGATCACCAGGCAGTCCAGCTGTCTGTTCCCTGAACACTAAACCATCCCACCTGTCCTCAAAGCTGCGTCCTTACCTGGAATGTGCTGTCGTCGTCAAGACTGATTGTTAGAATTTTATTTTAGAATTATGTAAAACTTACTACATAATAAACATCATTATTTGTAAATGCACATAATTCTTTACTCACCAACTGGTGTTAAAATCATGAACAACATTCACCCTCAACAAATGAAGCCTTGGGGAAGTTGAGACAACTGGTGAGAACGTGCCACAGAAAGAGCACACGGGGAGCTGGTGGGCCTCGGCTGGCGTGGGGAAGGAAATCGGCACAGAGGGGTCCAGTAAGGGTCGCTTCTGTCCCCCCACCTCAGTTCACTACGGTGGTGTCCTCAGAACGGGACCTTATTTGGAAATGATGGTTTTGTAGCAGCAACTTCCAACCGGTGAGCCGCAAGAATTTTTAAAACATGCAACACCTGACTATTTAGTCAGAGGGGCACTGACCTCTTCCCCCTTAGATTGTCAAATAAAAAAAAAGTGACAACAGCCAACCCGACAATAGCCATCCAGTGTGAATGAATCAAAATTATACCTATTTTTGTCATATCAGCAAAAAATATATATTTTTTGGTGTGCCATAGAATTTTAGTAATTAGTTCATGTGCCGTGCAATGCAAAAGGTTGAAAAGGGCTGCTTTATAGAAATATCAAGTTAAAGTGAGGTTATTCGATGGATCCTACTCCAGTATGACTGGTGTCCTTATAAAAAGGGGAAATACGGACACACATGCACACACACAGGTTGCAGGTTCGATCCCTGACCCCGGTTGGGGTGTGTGCTGGAGGCAACCAATTGGTGTGTCTCTCTCACATTAATGTCTTTCTTTCTCTCTCTCTCGCTCTCTCTCTCTCCCTCCCTCCCTTCCACTCTCTCTAAAAATCAATGGAAAAAATATCCTCCGGTAGGATTAACAAAAAATAAAAATAAGTTTAAAAATAAGAGATTGTTACTGAAAGCAAAGTAGAAATGGCATAAAAGGCAAAATGAC